GAAGATATTTTGTGTATCTGTTTGTTTTTTTTCAACTTTTTTCTTGTGTCTATGATACTATCGTTGTCTAGTATATATATAAAACTTTTCCGACTAACATTTTGTCGGAAATACGTCGAAAATTCTAAAGTGGTTACCTTTAATATTTCCGACGAATTTCCGACAAAATGTCGTCGGAAAGTTTGTCGGAAATTCGTCGGAAAATCTAAAGTGGTTACCTTTAATATTTCCGACGAATTTCCGACAAAATGTCGTCGGAAATTTTGTCGGAATTGCTAAAGTGGTTACCTTTAATATTTCCGACGAATTTCCGACAAAATGTCGTCAGAAATTTTGTCGGAAATCGTCGGAATTACTAAAGTGGTTACCTTTAATATTTCCGACGAATTTCTGACAGATATTCCCGACGACATTTTGTCGGAAATTCGTCGGAAATATTAAAGGTAACAACTTTAGATTTTCCGACTACTATTCCGACTAATTTTTTCGATCAAGTTGTCGGGATTACGTCGGAACATGTGCAGTGAATAATCACGTGTTTACCTCGTTGTTTCCGACAAATTTTCCGACAAGTTTCCGAGCAGTTTCCGATGACATTGGATTGTCGGAATTTTCCATGGTTTCCGACAAATATTTCCGACGAAATTCCGACGAATTTTTAATCGTCTAAAAAGTTTTTATGTTTCCGACGAATTTCCGACGAAATATTATTTTCTTGGAAGTTTGTCGGAAATTCCCCGGAAATCCGTCGGAATAATTCCGACTAAAAATTTCGTCGGAAATGTTCGTCGGAAATTGCTATGTTTTCTTGTAGTGTATGTATTATGATACTTTGTTTCTTCGAAACATCATTTTTCCGTCCATTCGTAAATATTTAATTGGTTTCACAAACTCTAAATGACTACTAGTACTATTTTGTTTTTCTTTCCATTTTTGCATTAAGTAGAGTAGCATATAATAAATTGATAATTCAAGATCCAATATTGTGATCATAATATTAACAAAATAATTAAATAATTAACAAAAAATATTGTGATCATAATTAATCTCAAATGTTGCTAGTTCTCTTTTATTTTGTAGGAAACATTATTTTTTCATGAAAAGTTCTATTGACTCAAATGTGCTAGTTCTATCT